ACCCCAAGCCGTGCTCCCCAGTCCATCCCCTCTCCCCACCCTGGCTCTGGCTCACCAAGGGTCTTTCATCTCCCAGAGGTGCCCCATGCCTGTGCCAGTCTGCCCCCCAAGATGGCACTCACGGTCTGGAAATCACTGCTGGAGCAGTCCCTGCCTCCAAATGTGCAGCGCACCAGCATCTCGCCCAGCTCCAGCCGGTGGCTCACGCGCTCCACGAACTCCACTAAGTCGAAGGGGCGGCTCTTCTCCTCCTCGCTCAGGTCCAGCTTGCCCCGCAGAGCCGCCAGCACATCCTGCTCCATGCCCTCCTGCATCAGGGGCCAGCCCGCCCCATCCAGCAACCCCAACATCTCCCCTGCCCAGTACAGGTCGTGGCTGGAGAGCTGCGAGAAGCGTGCAGGGTTGAGGTTGCAGAGTGTGACAGCAGGGAAGGTCTTGTTGCGTTCCATCTCCTCCTCCAACTGGGTGCTGTGTGGGTACTGGAAGTACAAGCCCACACACTTGGTGTAGACGTGAATGAGGAGGGCGAGTGAGCCGAGGAAGGCCAGAAGCCACAGCAGGTTGCGGGTGGTGTAGCGGCGGTGCTGGAAGATATGCTGGATGCCATGCAGTGTGGAGCGCCGGGAAAACTCCTCCAGGCTCCACGGGCGCTGCTGTGGGACCACAGCATCATCCTTCAGCTGGACACGATGTACTGGGAGCCCAGCAGGGCAGCCCTCCGGGTGAAGGGATGCTGAGGGCCAGGGATGTGCCCAGGGGCGCAGAGGAGGTCCCTGAGTCTCCTCCAGCCACATGCTGAGCTGTGAGTGCAATGAAGGAGTTGGAGCGCTGGGCAGCGTAATGCTGCGCCCTGACAAAGTGGGGAGAGCAGGAAGCTCTCTAAGTGCTGAGACCACAGACGTACTTAATGATGGAGCCAGAGACTAAAGCAGCCCTGGAAACCATGGGCACTCTCATCCGTCCCCTGAGAGCCCAGCAATTAGCCCTGCTTCCTTCCTCCATCTCCGGGTACTTAGCACAGGCTCTGCAGGGAGGCACAGAGGTGCCTGGGCAGGTCTGCATCAGCTCTGGCATGGGCAGAGATGCATGGGAGTGCACTGTCCCCTACGGAGGTGGCCCTCAGGAGCCCCAGCTCTGCCCCAGCCTCACCAGAGCAGAGCTCCAAGACATCAGGCTGCATCACCCAGTGACACCCTTGTCATATCTTCTGCACCTTCAGGCTCAGCCACAGTCTGGCAGAGGCCATGGGGGTCAGGATGCCCAGGCACAAGGCTGGGCTCTCTCCTGCAGCAGCTCAGCCCTGGCCTGGCACCCAGCAGCAGAACAGCCCTGTGAGTGGTGGGTTTGGTGGTGGCTCAGCCACTGCTCCGTGGTGCCGGCCCTGCCCGGCTGCGCTCCCATGGCCCGTGCTCCCCTGCATAGCTCTAAATCCATTAGCTTTGCATAATTAGATTTTTCTCAATTACCAGATTATGATAATTAACAGCTCATTTGGAGGAGGCAGTGCCTAATCCCGGCATCACGCCTGGCTCAGATCCAGCCCAGCTCATGAGGGCGCAGGGATGGCAGTGACACGGGCACGCGGCAGCCTGGGAGCTGTGCCGGGGCGGGCAGCCTGAAGGATACTCCGGCATCCTTTGTGCCAAAACCCAAAGTCTGCCCATCTGCATGGACCAGCCAGCCTGGCCAGAGAGGTCAATGCTGCAGGCAGAACAGTCCCCAAAAATGAGAGCCCGCATGGGGACAGCACATATCAACAATGGTTCTAGAAGAGGCTGTGCATCTGGGTAGCTCCAGAGATGCAGAAAGCATCTTGCACCACATCCTGCAGCCAGCTGCCAAGGGAAACCACAGGAGAGGTTTGCCTCGTGGGCTGGGCTGCAGTCATTAAGGGGGGTTGTTAATGAACTTTCCAAGTCAATAATGTTGTCGAGGAAGGATGGGAGAGCAGGGTAGGGGGAGGTGGCAGCCGGGGAGGTACCAATCTTTATCATGGGAAGGCAGGGCAGTCAAGGCAATTACTGCCCATCAACAGAGCTTCATCCCTAGTAAAAGAGTAGAACAAATATTGAGAGAAAAATGCTTCTGAGGACCTCGAGGGCAGGGGAATGGGGAGCAATAAAGATGTTCTCAGAGCTCACATAGAATAAATCTGCCCGGTCTGACTTGATTGCCTTTTTTGGGTAAAATTGCTAAATGAATCGATGGAGAGGAGACAAGAGGTGTGATATATCTGGTTTTTATTAAAGCGTTTGATGTAGCATCTCATGGAATCAGTTCCAGTTGGCGGGGACAGCCAACCCTCCTTCACAGGAGCAGGAGGGGACGGGGCAACCCCGCCATGCGGGTGCATAGAGAGCGTGATGGCACCGACTTCTGAATGTGCCACAGCCCCTGCTGTCACCTGGGATGCTCTGGGCAGGTTTCTCTCCCTGTGCTGGAGCAGCCCTCAGTTTTGGGGGAGTGGAGGAAGCTGTTCAATGAGGCACTTCCACAGCAGTGCCAGGAGCAGCATCTGCCCATCCTGCTATCTCCTCTCTCCTCGCAGCCTGGTTTCTCCCAGCGCCAGGCTCTTCCCCCTCCTCCCACTGGTGCTAATCCCCTAATCTGTGCAAAGCAACAATTTCTTGCATGGCACGGTGTCTGCTTCTCACAGGCCCAGACAGCTGAGATCTGCATTCCTCCCCTTCTGAACACCAGCTCCCTTATCAGCAGCAGGTATCGGGTGAGCCAGGCACCACCTACCTCCGATAAACCCATGTTTTATTGTGTCCCATTTCCATTTTATCTCCAAGCCAGCAATTATCGCCCATCTCACAACACGCTGTGCTGTGCGCAGGGCACAGTGGGGCGAGCTCCTGTTTTGCAGGCGGCCCTGGACCACAGTGTCGCACTGGAGGGGTCAGGGGCAGCGGCAACGCCATGGAGTGAAGCTCACTGCTCATTGCCACCCCGTCCATCTAACTTTGTGCCATGGAGGCAGTGATGGGTTTTCTCCCCATGAGCCAGATGTGTTGCATGGAGCATAAACACCCGCACCAGTTGTTGTGCTCCTCAGTGTGAAGGCATCAGATGTCTGCGTTAAAACAAAGCTCTCCACTTAATTACTCAGGCTGATAATTCAGCACGTGGAGGCGGCTCTGGCTGAGAGCAGAGGGCTGGATCACAGCTGGGACTGGAGAGGCTTGGAGTGCACATTAATCCTGGCTCTCACAGCCCTGATTAACGGTGCTGGAAACCTGCCCACCCCACTCAGCCATGGGGGAAGACTCCATCCACCGCACCCCATTGCTGCCCCAGCAAGGGGGCCCTTTCACCCCTTGTGTTGGTGGCTGCCAAGCCAAAGGATCTCATTATCTTCAGAGAGACCCCAGCAGTGTTGCACTTCCCAGGTACACCCGCATCAGCAGATACCTCCTGCAAACTCACCTTGCGCCAGGGCTGGTGGCTGTGCTGGAGGCTGCAGGCAGGCTGTGCCATCCCTGTGGGGCCCCAAGGGTTAAGCTGTCATGTATTCAGGGCCACACGCTGGCCAGGAATTACACTTTTATCGGCACGCGGTGCTGCCGCTGCTTGAATTGGGACTGGGAACTCTATTTCCGAGCTCACCCAAATTATTCTCCAAGAGATAAAGCGCGGTGCAGAGCAGCGCCGGCACTTCATTAACATTCCCCAGCCCATTCAGCTTTAAACGAAGATTGCCTGCCTCGGAAAATGATAAAATTGAACATGTGAAGCAGGGCATTATGTTCCATCAGCCGATATTATTTTCCACGCAGGGGCCGAGCGGAGGCACAAACAGCTATTTATGCAGCGCCTGGCCAAGCCGCAGAGCCAGCAGGGGTGGGTGGCGGGTGCACCCTGCCCAGCCATAAGCATCAGAAGGTCTCCCTGCTGTGTCCCTTGTAATTGGGCTTGGGTGTCCTCGGGGCTGTTCCTGCTGTTCCATGCATTGGGCCGTGGCACGTGGGTGAGGAAGGGGCTTAGCAGTGGAGGTCCCAGCTCCCCAGTGTGTCAGACTGGAGGCTTCCCAGGCTGCCACCCAGCCCCAGGGGATGTGTTGGCTGAGGCAAAGCATCCCCAAGGGAATGAACACCCCTCTGTCCCCTGCTAGGGCTGAGCAGAGAGGCTCCTGGGGCTGCAATTGGATTTTGCTCGGCCACGCTGAGCCTATCGATCTGGCAGTAATTAAAGTCGCTGCAAACCCTGACTCATATTCAACCTTGGGAGGAAGGAGATCCTTGGAGAAGCACTCTCTGCTCCCCACCTGCCAGCTCAGCACCCACTGCGCCGTGCTGGAGCTGCCCTGGCACAGCTCTGTGCCCATGGGGGAGCTCTGTCCCACACCACCTGCTCCTGGGGCTCTGCTCTAAGCCCTGCACATTTGAACTTTACAAAATGAGCCTATGCTGGTGCCCCTAAGTCATCCTGCAATGTGGGGTGCTACCTGCCCTGTCCCCCCCCTCCCTTCCTTTTCAGTGCCTGGAGGCACTGGGGTGCTAGGGGTGCAAAGAGGCAGCCGAGGATGTGTGAGGGCAGGTGAAACCCAGCCAATGTGTATGTGTGTGTGTGTTTGCACGGGGCCCCTCTGCACGCCCAGCCCTGCTGCCAGCCCCACTGCTATTCCCGGCATCTGCAGCAGGTCGGGACAGGCATCAAGGAGGGGTGGCTGCCATTCAGCAAGGGCCCCACCAATCCGCTCAGAGCCCCTGCGGGAGCTCAGGGACAGAGGGACTGGGAACTTCGTCAGGGAAGGTGCGCAGGGCGGGGGTCCTGTGGGGAACAGCATCTCAGCGGGCCCGGGCAGCAGCAGGGCTTTGCGGCAGGGAGGTGGCTCCATCTGCAGGACACAGCCCCGCCGGGAGCCCCGAAACCGTGGGAGCCGCGGGCCCCGCTCCGGGAGCCGTCGGGGCTGCGGGAGGCGGAGCCGGGCCGGGCTCCACCCCGGCCCCCGGCCCACATAGGCCGGCAGAGAGGGCCCCTTGCCCCCCGGAGCCTGCGCTGTCCCGGGGCCGTGGGCCGGAGCACGATTGCAGTGGCGGAGGAGAGTAGGGGGTGTGCGGTGCGTCCCGTCTATCCGCCCATCGGGGCACGATGCTACGGCGGCGCTGCGGTCGGCTGCTGGCCCAACTGGAGCGGGCACGGCAGCTGCTGGAGCTGGACGGCCGCCTGGAGGAAGGTCGGTGTGTGGGGCATCTCTGTATGGAGCTCGTGGGGGCTCTGGGAGCGGCCTCCAGCTTGGTCTGCCACCGTCTGCTGTTACCTGCAGACTTCATCCGCGTTGTGCGCAGCTTTGAGGCGACACGCCAGCGGTGCTGCTGGCTGGAGAAGGACAGGCAGCGTGCCCATGAGCAGCTGGCCCGTGCTGAGGCTGAGCGGGTGGCGCTGGAAGTGAAGCTGAAGCACGCCCGTAACCAGGTGGAGGTGGAGATGAAGAAGCGGCACCGTGCAGAGGCTGAGCTGGAGAAACAGGTATGCTGGGCTGGCAGCTGGCACGCATCAGGGGTGCTGGGAGTGCTTGCCTCATGTCACCGTTTGGGTTACAGGAGCGCAGGCTGCAGCTGGTCCTTGAGTTGCTGATGCAGGAGCCGTGGGGCAATGAGGAGCAGTGCTCTGTTCTCAGTACCCTGGCTGGATGGCGTCTGGGGACGGCCCTGGCAGCAGGCAGGAGGTGAGCGGGGCTGGGGGCACTGGGCAGGGTTGGGGGTGCCCCAGCCGTGCTGACACCAAGCTCTTTCTACAGGTCATCTGCGGTGGATGAGTCGTGCCAGTCCCTCCTGTCCCACTCAGATATCAGCTATGACCGCACTGAGGATGATGTGGTGAGGAGTGACCTGGGGGAACTTCAGGAACTGCCCATGGTGATGGGCAGGACTCAGGTGCTGGGGTGCTGTTGGCCTGGCAAACGCCAGCACCTCTGCTGTCTTTCAGGATATTGATGTGATGGTGGTGCGGGCTCTGAAGCGGAAGGCCCAGGAGAGACAGGTATGCAGGAGGGATGCTGGGGCATGATATCTCCCATCCCTGCACAGAGGGTTGTGAGGAACCTGGCAGGGGGTTAATGTATTGCTGCTGGGCTGGGAGCACCGTCTCTCAGCAAACCTCTGCAATCAATAGAAACTCCATTACCCTGTGCTGTGGCCCAGCTGGGCTCCTTAATAATTCATCCCCACATGTGGGCATCCCGCGTGCTGCTCTGCATTGCAGCCCTGGCCTGGGCTCCTGCTGCCCTGGTCTGGGTTCCTGTGTGGCTGCTGTGGGGTCTGGATGCAGCCACATTCTGGGGGGCCGAAACCATTGTATCTGGGTGTTTGGTGGGCAGTCAGGGAGAGGTTCCCTCTCCTCTTCATCAATCCTTCTGTTCTGTCCCCAGCGCCTGTCCCTGGCCCCTCAGGTTGGCCCTGTGGTTGTGGCGAAGCGGCACCGTTCTTCTGTGGCACCCTCCAGCACTGTGAGTGGAGATCCCCTGGGCTGGGCAGCGCGCTGAGCACAGCCTGTGTGGCTGCAGCCAGGCACCTCCTCACTGTCCCTGCTTCACAGGAGAGCATCCCCCCTGCACCCCGTCCTGCTGAGGTCCTGGAGTCTGCCCGCAGCCCCCCGCCTCCTGTGCTGGTGCCACGCCGCTGCTCACGCCAGGGACACCGCATCTCCACACATGCAGGTCATGGTGAGGGAGGGGGGCTTGGGTGCAAACAGGATGCTTGTGTGGGGGAAGGGAGACTGGAACTAGGGTGCTTCCATTGCAGGGGAGATCAGCTGGGGAATGGTTGTGTGGCACTGAGGTTCTCTGGATGTGCTGTGTGCCTCCATCCCCACTGGAGGGCTGATGGATTCCCAGGAATGGATGGATTCTCTTAGCTTTGGGGATCCCTGCACTGCTCCTTCTCTCTGCAGAGCTGACCACAGTGTGGGGCACCAGCGACGATCGGGGCGGCTGTGCGTCGGCACAGGAGAGCCAGGCTGAGGGTAGCTCTGTGGGGCAGCCGGCGCCGGGCCCCTCTCGCTCCCCTCCACCCGACCTCCCATCCCCCCGGCACCACTTCTCCTCCAAAATGGTGCGTGCCAAGCGCCTCTCATTTCACTGGACCCTATGGTGAGGGGAGCCAGCACGGCCAGAGCAGTGCTGGGCCCTCACCCCACCTCCACACACCAGGTCATCCGCCCGGAGCCCTGCGGTGCCTGTAGTTCCCGCCTGTGCTTCGGGAGGGCTGCGCTCAGGTGCCGCCAGTGCCAGCTGCTGCTGCATCCCAAGTGCCGGGAGCGCTGCCCCGGGCCGTGCACCGCCCGGCCTCGCCCACAGCCCCGGCCCCGCGAGGTGAGCGGGTGGCCGCGTCCCCGGGCACCGCGGCTGGGTGCTGAGCGGGCTCGGCGCTGCCCTCCCTTCTCGTTGCCCAATCTCCAGGGTGTGCTGGCCGACTTTGCCCCCCCGACCGCCCCGCTGGTCCCCGCGCTGGTGGTGCAGTGCGTGACCGAGGTGGAGACGCGAGGCTTGGCCGAGGTAGGGGACGTGGCGGCGTGGGGTGAGGCCGTGCCCCCCGCAGGCTGAGCCGTTCGGCCCCCGCAGGCTGGGCTGTACCGGGTGCCGGGCGCTGAGCCGCTGGTGCGGGAGTGGAAGCGGCGACTGCTTCACGGCGGGGAGACCCCGAGCGGCGTGGCCGACATCCACGTGGTGTGCGGCGTGCTCAAGGACTTCCTGCGGAGCCTCAAGGAGCCGCTGGTCACTTTCGGTCTGCACCCGGCCTTCCTGCGGGCTGCCGGTGAGCGGGGCCGTGGGGATTCGGATGGGGCGGGGGCCGCTCCTCACCGGTAACACCCAGTGCCTCCACAGACATCCCCGACGAGACTGCCTGCGGCACGGCCCTGCGGCACGTGGTGGGCAAGCTGCCTGCCGCCAACAGGGACACACTGGCCTTCCTCATGCTGCACCTGCTCAGGTGAGGGCTGCAGGACTCCAGGTCCCACCCCACACGTAGAGGTGGGCACCCTACAGCAAAGCCCTGTGCCCACCTTGCCCCCTTGCAGGGTGTCACGCAGCCCTGACTGCAAGATGGATGTCCTCAATCTGTCCCGTGTGTTCGGCCCCACGCTGGTGGGGCACAGCTCTGCCAACCCCACACCACTCACCATCATGGAGGACACACCGCGGCAGTGCAAGGTGAGTGGAGCACAGGCTGCCACAGGTGCTGCCACAGGTGCTGCCGACCCCTCTTCCAGCCTCCATTCCTCCCTCTTTGCAGGTGGTGGCTCGACTCCTGGCACTGCCATCTGACTTCTGGAAGGGCTTTGTGGGGACAGAAGAGAACCCGGTGCCAACGCCAGATCCAAGCAACAAACACGGTGAGTGTGTAGGACACTCGTAGCCACAGCAGAGCTGGGGCATGACCCCTTGCCCCTGACCCACCCTGTGTCCTGCAGAGCCGCTGTTCTGTCCCATCGCCGCCCCAGAGCCACACGTGGGGCAGCTGAGCCCTACCAGGACGTGCTGCCTGCCTGGTGCCCTGCGGAGCTGTGTGGGCACAGCCACCCAGGCACCGTGAGTGCTGCTGGAGGGGGGGTTGGGGGGTGCCCGCCTCGCATCCTGACTCATCTGTGTTCCCCCGCAGGCAGAGGGCAGCCCCTGGGAAAGTGGGGCGGTTCTTCCCCTCTCCAGTGTAGCTGTAGCTCCCTAGGGATGGAGTTGGCGCCAGAGTACCGAGAAGGAAGAGAAAGAGGAGGGCAGCGTGGGCCTGTGGTGCTCAGCTTCCCTGTAGCTTTGGGTGGTACGGGGATGATGCCACACACTGGGCTTGGTGGTTGGTTTGTATTAAATGTTTGCAGCAAAACTGGCCTGGGTGTGAGTGGCATCTGCAGCAGGAGAGCTCCAGGGTGTGTGGACAGGATTGGGCTGGGCTTGAGGGCTCAGTGGGCAAGAGCTGCACTGAAAGCACTGTGCACAGCAGTCCCCAGCATCCTGTTTCTATAGGGGCAAGGCAGCTGCCATCACTCCTGGGCTGGGTGGGCAGGGAAGGAAAGGCAGGGCCCCCTGCAGCTCCTCTACTGAGGGGCCCCTTGTCAGCCCAGATGCTGATGGCCTCCAGTAATCAGAGCTGCTGCTAAAGGCAGTACAGCCCCAAGACTTCCCACCTTCCTTTTAACTCGGGGCCCCTTTTAACTCCTTCCTTCCCTTCAGCAGAGCTGCAACATGCAGCAGAGGTGCGCAAGGCTCTGCTTGCAGCAGAGCGGGTGGATGGGCAATGGCCCAGGCAGTGTTTGTTTTTCCCCCCCAGCTGACACCTATAATGTAGCACAAGGAACAGGCAGTAAAGGGGTTACTTAAGGAAAAAGGGGCCTTGCACAACAGGGGGAAAAACTGCCAGAGCCATGTCCAGCAGCTGAGAAACCTCTGTCCATACTAAAACCGAGGGCAGATATGGGACACAGGAAAAAAAGTCAGAAGAGACAAATACTTTGGCTCAGCTCCCCTCAATGCAGGGGTGTTCACCAGAGGGCAAGAAAATTAGCACATCCAAGGCAGAGGCAAAACTGAAAGAGTTTAATGTGCTTAAAGTCAGGGAACAGCTAATCCCCACCCAGGACCACAGCAGAACTGGCAAAGGAATGCACAAAGCTGGGAGCAAGGATTTGCTGCAAATCCATCCAGCTGGGGTGGTATGGGATGGATGGAGAATCCCTAATGCAGTGCCTGGTGGGAAGTGAGGCGTGATGTGCCCTCGGCAGCACGCAGGGCTTTAGCGCAGAGCTGCATGACATGGAGGGAAGGCAGGGAGATAAGTGGATAAAGGGCAGCACTGGTTTCTACTGTGTGCCAGGATCAGCAGTGAGCTGCCTTCAATAAGAACAGGTTTTACAAGCCACAGCAAGGCGGTGCAAGGTGGTAGATCTCTGCCCCCTACACACAACTGAGATGATTGCTCCTGTGCCCTATGGCCATCACTGGTGCAAGGGCAGGCATGCAATGAGGCCCCATGTTGGCCCTCAGGAAGGCAGGGAGCCATTGCCTTGCTGCAATCTGTACAGGTTACAGCCTGATGAGAGCACAGGCTGCCAGCTCTGCCTCACACCGAGCCTTTGTATGAAGGTGCTTCTATGGGAGTGGGTACTTTCACAGCTACCTCCAGGGCCAGCAGTGATGTGACAGAGCTTGCTGTCACATCCAGAGCTGCCAGACCAGCCCAATGCTGCTGGTGTTGCCCCATGGTAGGCAGAAGCCCAGCTCAGGCTGTTGCAATCACACTGCTGAATCCTCCCACCAGGCTCATGCTGGGAGGGGTGTCTGGGCAGAACAGGCACATTCAGAGCTCCTCTGGGGTGAGCCAACACCTTATGAGAAGTTAGAGCAGCTGCTGAAGAGCTGGGGCTGGAGTACCAAGTTTTCCAGGGCAAGGCCATGCTGGTAGTGCCCTTTGGTATGGCAGTACCCAGAGTTCAGGACCTAAGATGCTGCAGGGAGCAGATGTTCTGCTCAGCCAGCAGCTGGCCTGGAGCCAAGGGCCCTGTGTAGGCCCAAAGCCTCACCCAGACCCCTGGGCTGCAAGAGAAGCAGCACGCGAGGCTGATGGCTCACCAGCTTTTAATGTCTATCTGGAGCTGGCTTCAGGCACTTGCAAGGCTCCCATGCCTGGCTCTCTGGGGTGCTGGGAGTCCCCAGGAGGTGAAGCCCTATCTGGGGGCTGGCAGAGGCCACCCCACCCCAGCAAGCAGCTGACTCACAGGATGATCTGGTTCTTGTAGCTGCGGCTCAGCTCCTTGTGAGGAAGGACGATGGAATTGAGAATAACAACCTCAGCAGGGATGGTGACGCTGCAGCCTATAGGGAGAGTATGAGGGGTTTAAAAAGAGGGAGAGGACTCACACTGTAGGACCTGGTGTAGGGCTGGGGATGTACTTACCCAGGATTGTGATGGAAGGCGTGAGGCGGCCGTCACGGAAGAGTGTCTCGCTGTCAATTTTGGCATAGGGATCGTTGGGGTTGGGGTCGCTGGGTGTCCCTTCAACCCGGGCCCAGCGCCCAATGGTGCTGTCCCAGCCCACAATGGTATTGAGGACACAGGTGTGGTCCTGAAGTACAGTGGTGGATGAGCGGTGCAGCAGGGGGCTGAAGAGGAGACTACCCCTGCCCAAGGGAAACCCTACTTACGTGCAGTGAGGCCCCATGCAGGATGATGGACTCACGTATGCGCACACCAGCTCCCACTGTCACTCCTTCCCCAATGGAGACGTTGGGGCCTAGCTGTGAAGACAGAGGATTGTGATAAGGTCACGGACAGTGGTATCCTCAGCCCTGCGATCTCCCTGCACTCACCACTGCTGTGCTGTCAACAGAAGCTGTAGGGTGGATGTACACATTCCCTGCAACACAAGGCAGCTATGTCAAGGGAAGCAGCCCAGATGAGCACCTGGCTCTGAGAGCATAGGAAGAGCTGTCTGAGAGTCCTGGTTACGCGAGGCAGCAGCTCCCAGGCTCTGGGGAGATGTCAGTGAGGTACCTCGGATGATGGGGCCTCCAGGTTTGTTTTGGGCCAGCCTCTCTGGGTGACCTTGGCTGTACTGGTTCAGATAGAGGCGACTGGCATAGATAGCAGAGCTGTGGAGGAAAAGTAGAAGATTGTTATTGTCTCTCTGGTGCCTTCTGGACAGAGGAGAGTCTGAATTCAATACCTGCTATCCCACCCATCCACCAAGCTCTGTCTGGGCATCTGCCTCTCCCACATCTGGCACAACTTAGTCAGAGCTCCTGCTCCACCAGCCAAAGCCCTTACCCAGCTGATTTGATCTGGCTCCAGAACCCATCAGTTTTGTAGACGTAGAGTTTACCGCTTCCAGCCAGGGCCGTGAACACATCCTGCTCCAGCCGGATCACTTCAGCACGCTGCCAGCCATTGGAGCTCTCCTCGCTGCAAGCAAGAGGTCTCTTAGATCCCTGCCCCAGCAGGGGACCCTGGCAGACCCTCTCCAAATCTGGGGGGCTCCTTCTTAGATGTGCACTTCTCCCCAGAGACAGGGCCATCCCTGCCAAGCCTACGGTTACTCTGCCAGCTGGAATAAGTTCTGTGCCAGAAGTGGATGGTGCAAGAGTTCCACCCAACCCAGGTTGGGGTAGGTGTGGCAGATCCTGTCCCCTAGCCCAGAGCCCTGCATAGCTGGATTGATGCTGGGTGGTGGCAGAGGTGACAGGCTGCTGGTGCAGAGAGCTGAAAGGGGAAGCAGAGCACTCCCAATTGAAAAGCTTGCTCAGCCCCTTGTCCAGAGCTGTATGAGAATGGAATGGGAGGAGAGGAAGGGAAAGGGCATCAGGAAGAGATGCACAGGACAGCCTTGCAGTGCTGTTGCAGGGAGAAATGCATGCATTACCACTAGGCGCAATCCAGCACAGAGCAGCCACCACAGACACAGAAGGACTGACTTACCCAAGGTAAGGACAGCTGGTGCAGGACCAGGAAACAAGTGAGTGATGGCAGAGGAGGAAAGAAGATAGAGAAAGAATGGAGGATGAGTGTGCTGCTGCAGGCCTGGGAAGCAGTGGGGTAGGAGAGACACAGGGCAGAAAGGGGCTCTCACAGCGCTAGCTCCTGCTGGTTCCTTTGGAAGACCTCGCCAATGTGCTGGAAGATGGCTGGTGTGAACAGATAGATGCCACAGTTGATGATCTCACTGACAAACGTGCTGGGCTTCTCAACGTAGTGCTGAACCTGAGTGAAGGAGAGATGTGAGGGCCAGGGCAGAGCCTCAGCACCACATTTACCGTTCATTCTTTGTCTTCCTCTACCTCCTGCGTGTCCGCGTTGGCCACAATGCAGCCATAATTCAGAGCCTGGGTCCTGTTGGCCTGCAGAGCGGGGTGTGTCAGTGCCACGGAAGCAGCAGGTGGGTGAGAGCAGAGCTCACAGCCTGGGCCTCATCCAACAGCTTCCAGCCAAGCCCGTGCCACAGCTGCACCGCTCCCCATCCCTGCCACGCACCGTGGTGCCCAGGATGACGAAGCTGTCCGTGTCCCCGTGCTGCTGCCGAAAGTCCAGCATCTCCTGCAAGGGGAACTCGGAGCACACGTCCGCGTTGAGGACGAAGAATGCGTCAGCACCACCTGCCAGGATCTGGTCACGGAAGTGGTAGATGCCCCCAGCCGTGCCCAGGGCCGCGTACTCCTGGAGGTACCTGCGAGGGAGGGAGGGCTCAGGGACAGGCGTGCTTAGCCGCAGGCACTCAGGGGCGGGTGAGAAGGGGGAGGCAGGGCGAAGGGGGGCACCCGGCAGAGCACCCACCTGATGGGAATCCTGAATTCCTGCTGGGCCGCCGCCAGGAAGCGGCCGAGGGCCTCGTGGGGCTGGTAGAAGCCCATCAGCAGGATCTCCTTCAGGCCGGGCACCTGCGGGGGCACAGTGGGAGGGCAGCTCCTGCACGGCGCCCGGCCCGGCCCGGCTCAGCGCGGCCCCCGCGTACCTTGGCGCACGCCTCGATGTGGTGCTGCACCATGGGCACGCCGGCCACGGGGAACAGCGGCTTGGGCACCTCGAAGGAGAGCGGCCGGAAGCGGGTGCCTGCGGGGCACAGCGGGTCGGCGGGGCCGGGCGCGGACCGGCCGCCCCGCGGAGCCCGGCCACTTACCCTTCTGCGGGCCCCCGATGAGGATCACGGCCTTCAGCGGCATGACGGCACGGCTGTCCCGGCCCGGCCCGGCGCGGCACTTCCGGGACACATCAGCGCGCTCCGCCGGCGTCGCCGCGTCACCGCCGGCGCCGCCCCGCTCCCCAGCGCCGCGCCCGCCACCCGCGAGGGGGCGCCGTAGCGCTGCTAGAGCGGCCGCGCGTGCGAGTTTAGAGCGTGGCTGTGCGCTGGTGCGCGGGGCCGTTGCGGGGCGGGGTGCGAGGGAGGCGCGGCGGTGCGGGTGTGCGGGAGCGGCCTGCGTATGCGCGCGGCCGGCCTGAGCCGCTGCTGCTCCCAGCCTCGGTTCACTCCTGGGCTGTGGACCCCCCAGGCTCTCCGTCAGGCTGTCCCCATCCCGCAGCCACGCTCCCCCTCCCACAGAGGCACGCAGACAGACTCGGGCTGCTCAGGGCCTTTATTGCTGCTCTGGCACGGTGCTCGCTTCAGCCCGCAGGGACGGCAGCGACTCCGGGGCCTGGCAGAGAGGTGGGGGCACAGAGCAGGGGCAGAACTTCTCCCCGCTGACCATAAATCAAGTCCAGTCGCTGCAGTGCAGCTGCCCCGTGCTGCCCCAGCTGGGGGCACCCAGGGGAGGCGATGGGGTCCGCGCAGCATGGGGCGCCCCGCAGGGCAGCGTGTGTGTGCGAGGGCGTGCGTGTGCATGGGGCGTGTGGTTCAGCAAGGCACATGTGGGGTTGCACGTGGGGCGGGAGGGGCTGCGTGGGGCGTTTTGGGTACAGGCGGCTGCAAGCGTCTCTTCCTGCTCGGAGCGCCCCCTGAAGCAAGAGCAGCGTGGGCCTGAGCAGGTGCAGAGCATGTGTAGCCCAGGGAAGGCACCGGTGTGGGGCCCGGGCTGCAGCCCTCTGGAGCAGGAGCGGGCCCGTGCTGCCGGCTGGCCACTCTGCGCAGCCCAGCGGAGCAGCCTCTGTCTTCGGCACTCCCGTGCAAAGCACGCTGACCGTGGGCATCCCCGGTCTGTGTTAGGGGATGGGGCCGCCCCTTGTCCCCCCGTGTCATGACAGTGGGAGCCACGGGCTGCGGGTAAGGCACGTGGCTGGGCTGGACGCTGCAGGGGCAGCCACATTTTGGGGCCAGTCCCCCACTGACCACGTGGCCTAGGCTGGCCGGCATGCTGGCAGATCTTCCAGACCCCCATCTCCATCCTGTCCCCATCACATTCTTCCCCCAACCCTCTGCCACATTCTCCATCCGTTCCAGCATTGCCATCTGACCCCAGCTGGGGCACCATTTTCCGGAAACTCTTCTTCGACTCCACCGAAAGACGCCATTCGTCTCTGTCCCTGTCCTGCCCTGCCGGCATCCCTGGCAGGTGGGGTCCGTGGGCTCATCCTGGCTCCTTGGCCGCCCTGTCCCGCGGCCCCTGGAATGTTCCTCTGGCTCCTCACCCCCTCACGGCTACTGCGGCCCTGGTGGCTGGCCGCCCTGGTAGGAGCGGAGTAAGACCTTGTGCTTGGTGACAGCCTCACCACGGCGCCGCTGGTGCTCCACCAGGAACTCCTTGAGGCGATTGGTGGTGAAGGTGAGAGTCTGGCGGCGCAGCTTCATCAGGTAGGCATCCTGGAGCCAGGTGTTGGCAAAGCAGTCCTTCACGGTGGGGCGGCTCCTGCAGCAGCTCAGTGTCAGAGACCACAAGGTGTCCACCACCTCCACACCATCCCCAAACTAAACACCAGCACCTCCCTCCAAGACCCCCTGGATGTCCCCCTGGTTCTTCCCAAGCAGGGATAGGGCTCAAGAGGCACTCACCAGGGGTGGACGGTGAGGACCTTGCGGATGAAGAGGGCAGCGCTCTGTGAGACGTTGGGGTACAGCTTGAAGGCATCGAAGCGCCCTGCCAGAATGCGGTTCTCTGTCTCGATGGGGTCCAGTTCAAAGAATGGCGACCGCCCACTCAGCCTGGGAGGGAAGAAGTGGCACGGGCTGGGCACAGCGATGAGAGGGCACTGAGCACCCACCCGATCCCCGTGTGGGACAAACATCCAGCTGATAACAGTCTGTAGGGCTACAGCATCCCCCCCTAGTCTGGGGGCCCTTCGTGGGGAATGCTACATCTCAGATGCTCACCCCCATACCCTCTTCTCTTACATGATGTAGGTGAGGACGCCAACACCCCAAACATCCGCAGCGGAGCCCACCGGGTCGCCTTTCACCACTTCTGGTGCTGCAGACAGAGTGAGCAGCTCTGTCATATGCACAGCAGCCAAACCCAGCACCCCTAGTACGTACAGCACCCCCAACACCCACAGTCAACACAGCACCACCAACAGCCCACCTTTTTTCCCTCCCAGCACCCCTTGCTGACACCCCAACACAACCCAGCATCAGGTACCCCAACGGCACCACAGACACCCAAATGCTCCCATTGAGCCAAACAGCTCTAACAGTCCCCTCTAGATACCCCCAGCATCCCAACCACTACTTAGCTTCCCCAGGCATCTCTCAGCTCCCCAGGCTCCGTGCATGGGCACAGCGTGCCCCACTCACACATGTACTCCAGTGTGCCCACACGTCGCCCCAGCTGCCGCAACACCAGGGGGTTGTAGGTCTGGGCGCTGCCAAAATCAATGATCTTGAGAGCGTTTGTGCCCGAGACCACAACGTTGTCAGGCTTGATGTCAAGGTGCACAATGCGGCGGCCATGCAGGTACTCAAGGCCCTGCAGCAGCTGCAGGACATAGCTCACCACGTCGTCCTCTGAGTAGCGAAACCTGGGGATAGGGGACATGAGCAGGGTTCCCGAACTGGACCCCCAAACCCTGCCACCCCCACCCCCTGGACCTGTCCACGATGCTGTAGAGGATCTCCTTGCCAGCACAGTTCTCACAGATGAGCACCAGGTAGCGAGGGGTGATGTATGCCTCGTGTAGGGCCATGATCCGCTCGTGGTGCAGTGCCTTCAGGATTTCGTACTCCTGCAGCACGCTCTGCTTTCTTTCTGCCTCATAGGGCACAATCTTGGCCATGAAGAGCTTTCCTGTGGCGTTCTCCTTGCACAGCCGAATTACCCCAAAGCGGCCCCTGAGGCACAGCATCATGTTCAGCCCCCTGTGCAGGATGCTCCAGGGGAACCCTGGCACAGCACCCCACCCCTTGCTTCCTCACCTTGCTTTCTCATCTAGGAAGGTGTATGGCTTCTGGGGGACACCCTGCCGCAGTGCCGTGCCATCCGGGGCTCTGCTGTCACCTGAGGGTTCCTTGGAAGACAGGGTGGAGGCAGGCGCCTCCTGGGTGGTGGGTGAGGCGGGGGGCATAGAGACGAAGGACGTGACCATGTAGGGGGGCATCTTCCTGGTGGGTGCAGTGTTGGGAGTGGTGGACGCCGAGGGAGCAGGGGAGGGTTTGGATAGAGACGGTGCCTGGGGTTGGTGGGACACCTGAGTGGGCAAGGTGGGAGCAGATGTGTCCGTGGGAGCAGCAGTGGTGCCTGTGTGGGGCATGGCAGCAGTCTGGGGGGCAGTGAACACCAGCTCTGGAGGCTCACAGACAGTGATGTTGGGTGGGAGCTTGGGGTCTGGCTGCGCCCCCTCAGGGACACCTGGCTGCAGTGTCTGCTCAGGCTTCTGCAGCACTGCCTTGTGCTTGCGAGGTGGCGTGGTTGGGGGCAGCCCTGGGGCCGGGGGCTCCAACTGTGCCTGGGGTGTTTGGGTCGACCGGCTGGAAGCTGCCTTGTCAGGCACAGGGATGGCAGTGTTCTTTGCTGGAACAGCATGGGAGTCTGCAGGGAGGAAGGAGAGCCATGAGCAGAGTTGTAGTGTGTGTATCCAGGAGCAGGGTGCAAGCAGCATCCCACTGTCTAAATCCCTGGAGGAAGAGCCCCCAAAGCACCGTGCTGCTGCAGCCCCATGCCACGGGGCTCACACTGGGCACTGCCCTAGGGAACAGCTGACTTACCTGTTGCCTCCAAGTGCACTTTGCCTGATGGGGTGCTGTAAGGCCCCTGCCCAGCCTTATTGACGCAGGCCACCCGGAACTTGGCAGCGCTGCCAGGGGGCAGCTCTGTCACGTTGAAGTAGCAGTCAGTGATGCCAGTGCTGACCAACTTCCACTCGTGTTCCCCTGCCGGCATGGAGGCATGATGAGGTTCCGGCTGCACCCTGTCCCACTTTGCCAGGCCTCCAGCACCCATCCATGCAAGGGTGAGCATTGTAGCCCAGCCAAAGGTGCCCCCAAGCAGAGTGGGGGCGGCCATGTTTCACTGGCCACGTACCCTCCAGCCTGTGCTCCAGCGTGTAGGTGCAGGGGGCTTTGCTCTCTGCGGGCTTCCACAGCACTAGCACCGTGTTCTTGTACTTCTGGGCGATCTCCGGGGTGCCTGGCCGCCCGGGAAGCCCTGCCAGGGGACACAGAGTAGGCAGCTGGGTGCTTGGCTGGCAGAAGGGTGTGTGGGCTTGGACACACAGGGAGATGCCTGTGCAGCAGCAGCAGCCTGAAAAGCCTCAGAAGCCCCAAGTAGGGATGTGCAGAGCAAGGATTCAGTGCTCTGCCCCAGAGAGCCCCCAGCCCCATGGCTGTTTCACCATGTTAGCAGCAGTGCCTAAGCATGCATCCCTCCTGTCAGAGCCAGCCCCAAGCAGCCCGAGCAAACAATCCCCAGCATCTGGCATGTGTTCTGTCCCTGTGGGGCAGCAACTCTGTCCCCTGAGATCCCCCCACCCCCGTGTCCTTACGTGCTACAGCCAGCGTGCAGGAGCTGATGGCTGTGCCCAGGGTGTTGGCGGCTGCACACTCATATAGCCCCGCATCCTTCCTGGAGACCTTGGAGATGGTGAGCATCTGGCGGCCGTCCTTGCAGGAGATGATGTTCAGCACATTGTCTGCCTGCAGTGACCGCTTATCTGCAAAGGGAAGCAGAGGAAAGCAGTGTTACAGCTGCTCCCTGGGCACCCACTCACTCAGGCAGCCATGGCAGCTGCAGCCCCCACCTTTCATCCAGATAATTCTGGGGGTCGGACAGCCAGCAGGCAGGCAGCAAAGGGTCAGGGCATCGCCCTCCAGGAGCACCTGGTCCTTCAGTTTGATGTGAAAAATGGGGGGGAAATCTGGAGAGCAGAGGACATGGTGAGG